CCAGCCGTGGTGACATCCCCCCTCCAGCCATGGTGACAGCGGAGGCAGGAGGAGCAGGAGCCAGCACTGGAAGCCATGGCCCTAACTTTGCTCAGCCTGAGGGATGAGTGGAGTGGCACAGCCTGCGGACGTGGCCTGGCCAGCCTCCTTTAATTCGCTCCATGGTGGGTCACTTATGCAACTGTGGAGTTACCTTGTGGTGACACCAACGAGCTGCATCCCTCCCCACCTTTGGCCACAGCTGTCCCCAAATGCCCCTGTGCCAGCCGGGCAGGGGAGGCAGCTGCTGCCCTGCAGCTCTGGGCTGGCCCAAGGAGGATCCACTTGGCTGCCCTTCAGCCCCTGCACTGTGCCATGGGCCTGGGACACACTGCGATGCTCAGCTCCTGGAGTACTGCTTGGTGTCCCGGTCTCTGCCTGTGGCTGGGTCCGTGACACTGGCCTTGCTTCTTGTCTCCCATCTCTCCAAAAGGACCTGAACCACCAAAAAAGGGAGCCGGCATTTGCGCTAGCAGGAGCTGTCATGCAAGTTTAAAGCAAAAAAAGGTTTGAACGAAGAAGGTGGAAGAGCTGCCGCAGGTCACCTTATTCTCAGTCAGGGCCTCCTTGGCCAGGTACTGCTCACGCTTTCACCTTGATCTCTACGGACTAGGGGACGTTGGGTACCAGCCACTCAATCACATGTGCGATAAAGAAAACCACATGCAGGAAGTGAGCGGGGACGTGCAGGTTGGCCCAGGTGGTGGGTCCTCACCCCCTGACCCAGCACCGTGCCCTGGGCCACCCAGCAGCTGGTACCTCAAACATGACGATGAAGCCTAAGCGTATGGCCAGCAGCTGCCAGTAAGTCAAGGTCAAGTTGCCGTCCCAGTGTGGGAGCAGAGTGCAGCTGTTATTGCCTCCGCCTCGGTCATGGCAGGTATTGCTGCGAGCACTCTCTGATCCCAGCCCAGCGTGCTGGAGAGCAGCAAAGCCAGGCCTTGACCAGCCACAGCCGGGACCCAGGCGGCTGCAGGTAGCCTGGCCCTGGGGGACTTTCTCCTTTGCAAAAGCACCTCCCTCCATGACTGAGAAGCTTTTGGTCCAGCCCCAGGTCAGGCTGGGCAAACAGCCCCCACATTGCCCCATGCACAGGAACATTCAGCACATGCTCAGACCTGGGCTGAGCGATGGCCTCAAGGACCTCAGGAAAGCAGTTGGACAACCTGGGCCCGGCTAAAGGCCACCATGCTACACAAAATGTGTGGTGGCAGCAGCAGACCAAAGCAAATCCAAGCCTAAGCAAACAAGGAGAGGAGCCCGAGGAGGCTCCCACCTGCACGTGATGTTGCTCTGAAGGACAAAGTCCCACGGCACGTCTGCCAAGGTGAAGTTCATGTAGCCACGCAGGCTGCTGTCGTAGGTGTCCTCGTAGTACATGTGGGGCAGGAAATAAGAGGTGAAGGTGATGAGGAAGGACTGGGAGCAGGGAAATGCGCTGCAGCAGGTCCTGCATCCAGGAAGCACCCCAGCCCCACCAGCGGGACCTCCTCCATGCCATGTGCTCCTCAGGTGGCTTTCCACCTCTCCTTGCCCTCAGCCTGACCAACTAGACATGAATGCCGCTCGGTCTTAGACAGCAGCTCGCTGCTCACGGCGCTGTGTCCTGCTCTCACCCCTCATAAACCCAAGCAGGGCCGCACACCCCAGAGGGTGATGGCTTCCTACTGCCATGGCTGGAACTGCACCTTCTGCAAAGGTGGGCCCACCCCAGGCGCTGCTGCTCCCCTCGTCTCAGCATCCTGCAGTAGCCAAGCGATTTTTCCCTCTCTAACTCTCCTGCTCTGCTCACAGCCCCCTCACCACCCGCCCGCCTGCCCAGCGTATGTTGCTGATGACATCCAGGTGAGTGATGGCCTCCAGGATGGAGAACCAGATGCCAATGCCCTGCGCCCACTCAGCCACGGGCTGCTGGTAGTCACAGATGAGCTTCTGGGCATCCAGGCAGATCTCCACCCAGTTGTTGAGCAGGGCAAAGAGGGGTGCCAAGGGACAGACCACTACAAAGATAGTGATGAAGCCAAACTGCAGGACTAGGAGGAAGAGGAAGAGAAGGAGGAGTGGGGAGTGACAGGCTGAGAGCAGCAGCAGCTGCAGCATCTCCCAGCCCCATTCCAGGGGGAGAAGGGCAGCCCTTCTCCCTCCAGCCCCCACAGG